ATTATAAGAAATTAAAGCATTTTAATTATCACCTTATATAAAACTATGTTTCTTAGAAACATATTGTACATTTCCCTGACAGAGTCAGAAATTTGACAGTAAATGAGTTTCATCACATTCTTCTTAACAGAAATGATGCAGGTGTTACTTTTGGACAAAAGTCTTTTTGCTGACAGCTGAGGTGCAAACAGGAGTACCGTAAAATATTTCATTTTCAAGACAAAATTTAAGAATGATACGTACATTTACAATAGTCCTTTGAGTAAAATACATTTAAATACCATTCACTTGTAAAAAGAGAGCATATTACCCAGACTAAAGTGCACGGTAATAATCAGGCAATCAGACTTCAAGCAATCAATCAACAGTAAAAAAAAAAACACTGTGGTGCAACTGAAGCCTCCTCAATACCCCATATTTATCACCGAAAGCAAAGATAGCAATCGAACAAAGAAGTTTTTTTCATTCAAAATTAGGGTTATTTATGGAAGAGGATTAGTACCACTGAAAAAAAACCCAAAAGTTAACTGATTTTTACATATTATTTCAGTTTAATATGGAAAACAGTCAGAATTCTGACTTTTACCTCAGAATGTTGGATCTTAATGTAGATGGGCACCATGAAGGATGTGGAGCGCTCAGCTTCACTGACAAAGATGTGAGTCATTTGGGAGGGCCAGAAACACATTGGTGGAAAATGATGGAATTAGGCGACTTTTTACATCCCTGAGGGGCCCCTGGTGAGGCTATTTCATTAATGGAAGAGCAGAAGGTGATTAAAACAAGAGAGATAGTTTAGTCTCTAGACATGGCTACGGCTTGATGCCAACATGTTTGTTAGCTGTCAGAATTCAGTCTGAATTCTGAAATTTAAGTCAGAATTCTGAGATTAAAGTCAGAATTCTGAGGGTAAAAAAAGTCAGAATTCTGAGATTAAAGTCAGAATTCTGAGATTAAAGTCAGAATTCTGAGACTAAAGTCCGAATACTGAGATTAAATTCAGAATTCTGAGAAAAAAAAAGTCTGAATTCTGAGATTAAAGACAGAATACTGAGATTAAAGTCAGAATACTGAGATTAAAGTCAGAATTCTGAGATTAAAGTCAGAATTCTGAGGGGAAAAAAAGTCTGAATACTGAGATTTAAGTCAGAATTCTGAGACTAAAGTCCGAATACTGAGATTAAATTCAGAATTCTGAGAAAAAAAAGTCTGAATTCTGAGATTAAAGTCAGAATTCTGAGATTAAAGTCAGAATACTGAGATTAAAGTCAGAATTCTGAGATTAAAGTCAGAATACTGAGATTAAAGTCAGAATTCTGAGAAAAAAAAGGCAGAATTCTGAGATTAAAGTCCGAATACTGAGATTAAAGTCAGAATTCTGAGATTAAAGTCAGAATACTGAGATTAAAGTCAGAATTCTGAGAAAAAAAAGTCTGAATTCTGAGATTAAAGTCAGAATTCTGAGATTAAAGTCAGAATTCTGACTTTTTTCCAAATATAAACTGAAATAATATTTAAAAATCTGTTAACTATTTTTATTTCTTCAGTGGCCCTAATCCTCTTCCGTAATTACCACTCATAATAAAGTGCATTCAGATATTTTAAATTACATCAGCATTATCAGCTATTTGTAGACAGAAATGCAGACGGGTAGGTAGGTAGTGTGCATATAGAGTCCATCCTTCCACACGTGAGCAGAAGACATGGCTGATTTTTTATTTTATTTAATAATGAACACTTGCATATTTTAGGTTAGATTTAAATAAATTTTAAAAACTTATCTGAAAGCCATTTTATCCTTAAATTAAATGACAGAACTAGCAGACAGTTCCATCTTTTATCACTAATTGGAGATTAACTTATTGATCCCTTAAGATAACTGGTTGTCATTACTTATTGAACTTATTGCATTTAGCTGGTCTGTTTAAATACATTCTTAGAAATGTGTGTCTTTAAACTTTATAAATGCATGGAGTTAGATGGAAAGCAAAGTACTAGAAAAGGACCTGAGAACATGATTACTGATCATATTTATAGAGACATTCGATAGATAATAAACATGTAAATGCACATACACTCTCACTGTTGTGCTATTAGACATTTGGCATGTTTTAAAAGTTTTTCCCCTTATTGATAATATTAATAGGAAATATTCATGTTCAGCTGTTGTCACTAAATCTAACCTGTGCCTTTGATTTGTCTTTTTAGGGACGATCATTTGACAGAATGCACTTTTTATTATTAAGGTAATCGTAAAATTAAAATAAATGTTAAAAGTGCAATGTTAACCAAACAAAGTTAAATAAAAACTCTTGTTTTTCATATGATTAATTTGATAATAAATTAAGATAATTCTTTAAGGGATGCAATGAACTAAAGTTTTGTGCTCAATGCTAGGACTGTGAGTTAGCATAGACAGCGTTTAATAATTGCTCAATTGGTTTTTCTAACTATTAGTATTGAGCCCTTAATGATGCTTTAAAAAAGATAAAATCAATCAAACCAGAAAGGAGTGATGAAGACACAAAGTCTTGTAATTGATGATTTATGTTTAAAAATGGTGTCTTTGATTAGCTAATATTAGCTAGCTAACATTAGCTAGCTAACGTTAGCTAGCTAATGTTAGCTAGTGTTTCAAAACAACTATCCTTCATTTAAGCTGCGAGAACAGAAAGTCCCACGATATCTTCAAAGTGCTATTTTCAATGGTAAAGTGTGAACAAAGATGAAGATAATTGTGTTTTATAACTAATTAATCCTGATTAAACAAATTAAACCTTCCAAATAGGTTTGCCAACTCCCTGAAAAAAAAGAAAGGGACACCTCATGTGCGTGCCAGCTGACCCGATTGCCTTTACCCCTCCTGGCGTGGTGGTTTTTGTTTTAGCCCCCCTTTCTGTGTGAAAGGATTTTTAAAAACTATTTGACTCAAATCTGCATTGAATTAGATGCATATTTGTGGGCTGCAGAAATAGTGCTCCGGCACACCGTGCATTGTGCTTTATATTCACAATCGCTGACCTTTTCCACCCATGTATTTGTTTTTTCCCATTCCTCCCTAAATTTCTGCATCCTTTTTTTTTTCGTCGGAGGAGTATCGCTATTCAAAGGTGCACCGCCCCCAACAGCAGCATCAGCATTTAAATTCCTCCGTTCATCCCCCATACTGCTCTGTTGTTTCTCGCTATCTTCTCCGTGAGCAACACTTGGCTCGACCAATGGGATGAGGGGATTCTGGATCGTTACATATATGTTGTCAGCTCATTGGTCACAATGCAGGACAGGGACGGGAACAAGTTTACCGTAAGTTTCGTATCTAACGTGCCCTTGTTCTTTATTTTCCATTAGCTATTTTTTACTCTCTCAGTAATACGGGACGAAGTGAGTTCCTTTTCCACTTAA